GCTGGCTAGGGCAACCTAGGTGCTTCTTTACCTTCTGCCCACAAGCACTCTAACACACTTGACTAGATAGGGTTTAACTAAATTAGATGGACAGAAGGCTGCACCCAAACAGTGCAAATAAGTTGCCTAGTGTCACCTCAAAAGATTCTAAATGTAATCTTGAATACGTGCTTCATGCTATCATGTTTAACATTTTAATTTTTTATTTAAATATATATTTTTATTTATTTCAGAGAGGAAGGGAAAGGGGGGAAGATAGAAACATTAATGATGAGAGAAAATTATTGACTGGCTGCCTCCTACACATCTCACATTGGGTATCAAGCATACAACCCCAGCATATGCCCTGACTTGGTACTGAACCATGACCTCCTGGCTTATAGGTCAATGCTCAACCAATGACCCACACCAGCCGGACATGTTCAACATTTTTATTAATTACTTTTGAGGATTCTGTATAAAGTAGCCTAGCTAATTAGTGAATGAAGTGACGTTGTTGTGAGCTAAATGTGATGAGAAAACCAGAGCAGTTTCCCAAAAGATTTTGATTACTTGATATGATAAGCCAAATTCACCAAAATGTATTTTGCCAAGGCTAAAAGTCATGTCCCATAATTGGGCACTGACATTGAACTTCAACTCACTCAAGTGAAAGTGGGGCAGCAATAGAACTTGTGAAAATGGTTCAAAGGTTTTTTGCTGATAGTAATTGAGAGGAATGCCATGCCAGTAATATGGCTGCCAGAAATTACAAAGTGATATCAGGCTTTCTTGAAGAAGCAATACAGAGGAACATGAACAGACCACCTACCCTGCAAAGCCAGCCATATCTAGAGTCCTGTGATCAGATTTGAGTGCCTCATTTTAGGGAAAATTAATGAGCAGGAGCATGTCCAAAACAGACTAGGGCTGGTGAAGAGAATAAAATCAAAAGCTATGTCATGCAAGTTGTGATAAAAAGAACTAAAGGAAGTCATGTTCAATGTCTTCATATTTCCATGTTATTAATATCGAAAACCTATAGAAACTCCTCGAAGTATAGTGAGACTACCTTAGAAGAGTCTGAGAGAAGAAAATGTGAGACTAAAGTCTGGTTCTATGGCAAAAAAAACTTTAAAGAAGTTTTATTATCTTATTCCCAGAGACCATTCAACAAAATGGGGTTGGGATGATCAGAGAGTCAGCTCAGGACCCATGGATATTCTTGGAGGGTTATGTAGGCAGGAAACCATAGGCTCTCACTGTCCTCAGCCCCTAATACTCTGGCATTTCCTCCTGCATTGCTGTCCAATTCTCTCTCCTCATCATCCTCTACCCTGCAGATGCCCCTGCTTCACCTGTGTGATGTGATTAAGCACAAGGCTGTGGTATTAGGCTACCTGGAGTCAAATTTCAGCTCTACAAAATAACCATGTGTGTGACCTTGGGTAAGCAAATTTAATATCACTTGTGCCTCAGGTTCCTCACCTGTTAAAGAATAATTATGGTATAAAGTGTGTGGGCTGTTAAGGATCAAAAGAAGTTGTATATAAGGTGGTTAGGGAAATGCCTGGTATATAATAAATGATCAATAATTGTTAGCTGTTATAATTACCAAGCCACAACAGTCTGATTGTATAATAAATGGCAAGGAAACCCAGACTGTGGAGTCAGATCACCTGTGCTTGTATCCTGGCTCCACTAAATATGTTAACATTTGGCAATTTTAAAAACAGCCATGATGTACTGAGAGGTCGCCCATCCAATTCCCAGTCAGGGCAGATGCCTGGGTTGCAGGCTCATTCCCCAGTGTGGGGGTCGGGAGGCATGTGAGAGGCAGCCAATTGATGTTTCTCTCTTATTGATGTTTCTCTCTCCCATTCCCTTGGTCTATCTCTAAAATCAATACAAAATTAAATTTAAAAAAATATAGTTATGGCTTGAGAACCAATGTCATCCCAACAGATTCAGATAAAAAAAAACAAAACAAAAAAAACAACAACAGCCTATTGCCTCAATTTCCTCATCTGTACAATGAGAAAAAGAGAAATACCTAACTCCTAAAATGAGAATTTTATGAGGCAATCCATTTTAAGTACCCTGAAGTCTTTCTCTACTGGACTCACTTAAAAAATGTCTTTTATTGATTTTAGAGAGAGAGGGAGAGATAGAAACATTGATGATAGAAAAACATCAACATCCATCTGCTGCCTCCTGCATGCTACCTGCTGGGGATTGAGCCCCCAGCCTGGGGATGTGCCTTGACTGGAAATCAAACCCAGTGACTTCCTGGTGCATGGGTTGCTGAGCCACACCAACTGGTCTGGACTTACTCTTTTGAAACCTAGCACATGCCTGTCTCCATGTGTCAACAAAAGAATGTCCAAACCCATATGAAAGTTTCATAAGAGTTATTTGAGCTATAATTTTGAGGATATGTACAGAAGCAAGATGTCAATGGATTGAGAAAATGCTCCAGAGAATGGCAGTTTTGCATTTCTTTTTACACATTTAGAATAAAAGGAGAGAATGTAAGTAAGGTACATGGTGATTGATAAGGAGGTGGGAGAAAGCAAAGTGGGGAAATTTCTAGGATTGGATAAAAAGCAAAATAGAGAGTCCAGCCAGCTGCCATGACTCAGTGGTTGAGCATAGGTAGGGTCCCTAGCAGCTGCCAGCTGCTGGCCAGGGCCTTCCTTCGTTCTGCGCCACCTCCTGGTGGTCAGCACATGTCATAGCAAGCAATCAACCCTCCCGCTAGTTGGTCAAATTCCCAAGGGGACACTTTGAAAATTAGGCTTTTATATATATAGATAGACTAAAGGCCTGATGCAAGAAATTCATGCATGAAGGAGAAGAGGGGGTCCCCTCAGCCCAGCCTGCACCCTCTTCAATCCAGGACATCCCTCTCACAATCCTGGACTGCTGGCTCCTAATCGTTCACTTGCCTGCCTGCCTGGTCGCCCCTAACTGCCCCCCCCCCCCCCCCGTTTTCATGATTGCCCCTTACTGCCTCTGCATGCCAGCCTGATTGCCCCTAACTGCCACCCCCCACTGGCCTGGTTGCTCCTTACTGACCCCTGCCAGCCTAATTATTCCCAACCCCCCCCCCCCCCCCCCCCGCCAGCCTGCTTGCCCTCATGGCCCTCCTGCTGGCCTGGTCGTCCCACACAGCCTTCTGTTCATTTGTTTGGTTGTCCCTCACTAACCCCCCTGCTGGCCTGGTCGTAGGCAGCCATCTTGCGATGGCATGATGGTCAATTTGACTATTACTTCTTTATTATATAGGATTATTGACTATGTTTCCTATGCTGTACTTTACATCCCCATGACTATTCTGTACCTGTTAATTTGTACTTTTTAAAAATTCTTATTGTTGAAAATATTACATATGTCCCATTATTATTTTTTTTTTAAAGCTTCCTCCTCTTGCTTTGCCTGCCCTGAGTTTTCTACTCTTTTTGCTCCAGGAATTCTAATGGCTAGGTGAGTACAGCCTGGGGCAGATGCTAGCCACCTTGAACAGCACCTAGAGTAGGGGTGTCGAACTCAATCAGAGAAGGGGCCAAAATCTAAAATCCAGCCTAAATCGCGGGCCGAATGGTTTACTGAACAGTCATAAACTGTCATTGTGATGGAAACGCAGCGGAGTGCAGTGATGACAGCGCGGTGCGGGCCACATTGCAAGGCCTGGCGGGACGGATTTGGCCCGAGGGCCTTGTGTTTGACACATGTGACCTAGAGGATGATTTTGGCATATCAGGTTACTCACTCTTAAACAATTTCACTCAAAGAAATTTAAAGCTATAATTGCAGCCATAAAGGTGAACATATATCCAATTATTCTGAACTCTGTCAAATAAGAGGTAAAGAAGATGGAAATGGGTAGCAATGTTTCCAGGTACCACTTAAAGGAATGCATTAAAAGGAGATCCTGGAAGCCATTTAGTAAGTATACCAAAGCCCCAAAATACAGGGTGTCCTCCAAAAATGTATGCACACTTTAACAGCTGATAGCTCAATTTTGAAAATGAATTGCATTTCAATAAACACTGCTTTTATAATTATTCAAAGTGTGTATATACATTTTTTCTGGGACACGGCCAGACATAGTGAGTGGCATAGCATTTAGCCAATCCTAAAATTATCAACTCTTGTTCAGATAAATCGTACTACAATCTGATTGCAGTTAAGTCTACCTGAGACTAAAATAAAACCACAAATAGTGCTGCATGTAAAAACAAACAAACAAACAAACAAATCAAAACAAAAAACAACAACAAAGGGAGAGAATCTAATACAGTTAGATCATTGAGACTTGGAGTGATATCATTGGTGGGCCACTGGGGAAGAAGTAAGTCTGCAGAGAAACCAGGTAATAGTGTTTTGAACATTTCCCCCTAACTTAAAGTAGTCAGGTTAGGAATTTTTATGTTCTGACCATCCTGTGGTTACTTTTGGTTATTGAACTTATCAGGTTTAGTATATGGTCTCTTTTATTAATATATGTATACAGGGAAGGGAAGAGCTGCTGGATATTTTCTGTCTCCTGGCCTAATTATTGCTATTGCATGAGCTGAACAATTTCATCCTAACTTTTCAGAATTTAGGGCAGCCAACTTGCTCCCTCAATAAAAAGGGGTGCTTTAATGCTGATCATTTTACTTTTTTTTTTTTTTACAAGGTACTTAGTTTGTAATTATACATTTATGAGCATGATTATTTGATTTTTGTGCCCTCAGAAGTAACCAGAAGTTGGCTGCAAAAGATGGTTACAGTGTCCTTGAGGTGGAACCGGAATGGGACATTCAGGGGAAGGACCCCTCCAAGTCCTGGCTTTCATTGGGGATAGGGAGATGAAGGCCAGAGTGTCTGAAAGAGCAGTGCTTCCTTCACTTAATTCTGCACGGAATCGGCTTCTGGGAAAAGTGATTAAGCAAAGAAAACTCTCAAAGCTAGGGGGCGGGAGGAAGTCTTAGGGGAAGCTCTTTCTTAAACTCCCTTCGGCGGCTCCGAATAGAGTCCTCTCAGCCACCAGACGGCGCCACGCACAGAGCCTTAGACTCTATGGTCTCTCCCATGAGGAAGCGCGACCAGGAACCTCCTATATACTTCCGTTTCCGGCCTGTCGCCTTCCTTTCACTGCTGATAGCGCTTGCAAACATGGTATGACTTTGGGGTTGGGGCAAAGAAACATCCAGTTTCATCTTCTCTCCACCGTCAGAGGTGCCATCCCGGGGTGGGTCCGGGCCTCTGTGTGGACTCGCAGCAAAGAAACCCAGTGTTGCCGGGATCGATCCCCGAAGGGACTAGGCTTTGGGGCCAGGAATTGAAGTGATGGGATCAAAGGAGCCTTAGCAGGGGTCATGGGGGGAGGCAGCTGTACGTGAAGCACGTGGGACTGGACCACCTTCTAGTGAGTGGTGTATTAACCAGGAATTTGAGAGTCGGGAGTCCTCGTGGGTTGCCTTAGTGTGAACTGGGTCGCTATTGTGCCATCGGCATCTGATAACACGCACGTTCTGAACGGTTTATTTCCTAGGTGAACGTTCCTAAAACCCGCCGAACTTTCTGTAAGAAGTGTGGCAAGCATCAACCCCACAAAGTAACACAGTACAAGAAGGGCAAGGATTCTCTGTATGCGCAGGGTAAGATGGTCTTTTGCACGGGATTTGGTTTGAATGTGGCAATGGTGTAGTATAAATACACAAGCCAGACTCCCCCCCTCTCCCCACTGCGTGGGCATTGATATTTCTTTTGGAAAACCCAAGATAAAGCCGTGAGACTTTTTTATGTGACTATTGTGAATTGTTAACTTTGGCACAATGTAACAAGTAACTTCTCCCAGGAAAGCGGCGTTATGACAGGAAGCAAAGTGGCTATGGTGGGCAGACTAAGCCTATTTTCCGAAAAAAGGTGAGTAGTAATTACTATTCGACTTATTTCCCACTGATTATGGTAAAGACCTTGCGTTTGTTGTTAACCCACACACCTCTACAATATAGGTATGTGTTTTCATAGTTTCAGCGAAGTTATCTCAGTCACTGCGTAACATACCTATTAGACAGTGGAGCTGGGAGTGCAACAACTTAAGGTTTGTCTACAATACTGCACCATTGCAATATATACTTTGTTTCTTGATTCGAGAGTGAGATAGAGAAACATCTTTTTTTTCCCCCCTCACTTACTTTGGCATTCATTGGTTGGTTTTTTAAAGATATATTTTTATTGCCCTAGCTGGTTTAGCTCAGTGGATAGAATTTTAGCCTGTGGACAGAAGGCTCCTGGGTTCCATTCCATCAAGGGCACGTACCTCCGGTTCCCCCACCTAGGTTCTGGTAGAAACAAATGCATATGTGTTTCTCTGTTTTTCCTTCTCTCCCCAACTCTTAAAAAAACAAATCCAATGGAAAAATATATTTGTGTGAGGATTAAAAAATGTAACAAAAATATCTATTTTATTGATTTCAGAGAGGAAGGGGGAGGGAGAGATAGAAACATAAATGATGTGTGAGAATGTTTGATTGGCTGCCTCCTGAACGCCCCCCACCGGGAATAATCCCACCATCCGGGTATGTGCCCTGACCAGGGATCCAGCCTGACCTTGGCATATCCTGGCGACATGCTAATCAACTGAGCTATCCTCAGGCCAGGGCTACAGTGTTTATATTTTTTGTCCTTCCCTTTTTGAAGAGACAGACATCAAGGTAAGGGAAGTTTTCTGCCCTTCTAAGCACTGAAGTTTGAATATACCAGTAAATCCTTTGCCATTTCTGTCATCGGGTCCTAGTGAGTCCTCAGTTCTTGTTGGCAGTAAGAATATTCTTTTGCTTCTGGGCTCAAAAGCCTGCAAGGAGTGCTATTTATCTCATGAAGTCAAAAGCGGCAGACTTCCCACTGCATCCTCAAGGCTGAATGTGTTTCCATTTTTTACTCCAGGTGATTTGGCTATTCTTAAAGTACAAACAGTGCCCAGAACAGCATTCCCGCTGTGTTTTGGCACTTTGCTCTTCCATTTAGCCTGGTTCCAGAGTATTAAGGAATGACTTTAGTGTTCATTTAGGTGCAGTAAGTGATTTAATAGCTACGTGATGAAAGGACTGATTGCCTTTTCACATTTAGGTGACTTGATTAAAAGATGGAGAGGTTCTACCTAGGTTTTGGAATTTTTGAGAACTGCGAAACTAGCAACAGAATTCTGACAACAGGAGCAGGCTTAAAAAGTTGAGTGTTTATGGGGAGTGTACTTTGAGTTAAATAATACAGTTGAATACACAAATTCTAAATGTAATTATAGGTATTCTCCAGAGGCTTGATAGAACTTATGTAACAGTTCTTAACCCTATTTAAAGAATTGCAAAAGTTGTTTTTAATAGTGCATGAATTAGGATGACCTGTTTTTGATTGTCCAGAATACTTATATAAAGCTGTAGAACAGTCACAAGTGCCTCTTTGATAAGTCCTCTAAGATGCCTGATGTGAATGGAGAACTTGATGGCAATTATTAACTTTCCACCTTTGCAATTACTTTTTCTCTTAAATACATTGGATTTCACATTTGTTTTCTCTCTATAGCCCAAGACAAATTAAGGTAGTTAACCCGATGTAGTCATATTTTTGAAGAAATATTTTTTGCAGTGATTTATGAAGAGTATCACTTCATTTTTTTCCAGGCTAAAACTACAAAGAAGATTGTGCTGAGGCTTGAATGCGTTGAGCCTAACTGCAGATCTAAGAGAATGCTGGCTATTAAGAGATGCAAGCATTTTGAACTGGGAGGAGATAAGAAGAGAAAGGTAAACAATTTGGGGTGGGAGGTGCAATCTTTCCTATATAGCTTTATTTGGAGAGGCATTTCTGCCCACTTATTTACTGTGGCATCAAAATCAGGGGCACTCCCTTCAAAATATTTGAACCATAGCTGAATGTGTAAGGTTTTTGGTGTTTGGCATGAGTAAGAAGGGGAGTGAGATTTACAAGATTAAAAAAAATATTCTTTAAATTGATTTCAAAGAGGGAGAAACATTGGTGATAAGAATCATTGATTGGCTGCCTCCTAAAAGACCTCTAGTAGGGGCCAAGCCTGCAACCCGGGCATGTACCCTGACTGGAGCTGAACCACTGAGCCACACCACGGCGGGGAAGGGGGAGAATGGGAATTATCAGGAGTAGACACTTGATGGAACAGAGGTTCATTACAAGAGAAAAACTCACTTTTTTCTACCTTTTCTATTGCAGGGTCAAGTGATCCAGTTCTAGAGCGTCATATTTTGTTTTATTATATGACAATAAAATCATGATATATTAACTTCATGTGGTTGCAGTCGGTCTATTTGGGAAGGTAGTAAACTAGTGTTCCACAAGGGGAAATTCAAGCTTACTGGTTTTGGGTACTTGGCTCATTTTGGTTGAACTCAAATCAGATGTTGTAATGGCTTTTTAGTCACTTGGGGCTTCATGGGATCCCTTTTGCTGTTGTTATTGGTATCCGTAGTGAATGTTGAGCTTACCAAGTGAAATAATTTGTCTCACATGCCTTTATGAGTTCATTTTTTTTAATCCTTGGATGTTTTTATTGAGCAGAGGAAAAACACCGGCTGCTTCCTGTATAGAATTTGGGCCCCGTTCTCTAGGCATTACATGTCTTCAGACTACTCATACCACCCCTTTCAAACTTTATAAAAAGATACATTTTAATTAATTTCAGAGAGAGAGAGAGAGAGAGAGAGAGAGAGAAACATCAATGATGAATCATCAGTACCTGGTACATACATGCCCCAATAGGATTGAGCCATGCTGGCTGCCCCCACACTCCCCTCCCCTCCCATCTTAAATTTATACAAATTCTTTTCATGATGCAAAGAACATGATTCCTAGTGAATTAAAATCCTAAATGGAACCTAGCAGTTAAAATCCATTTTTTAAATTGCCTAACCGTTTCAAATTCAAATCCCTTTCGTATTTGTGTATTACGCTCTTGGTAATAATGAATATCCAGAGACATATTGGTCAGATCATCAAACCTCAGAGGGAAAGTAGGGGAGGGTGGGGGTAAGGGGAAATCAACCAAAGGACTTGTATGCAATGCATATAAGCCTAACTAATGGACATAGATACCAGGGGGGTGAGGGCACATGCAATACCTTAATAAAAAATAAAGGATCTAGCTTACCGAGTTTTACCTGTGCAGTAAAACTGGATGACAAATTACTCTGGCAACTGGAAGGGCATCTCAGTGAGATGGAGCAATTTGCTTTCAAATTTATATACTTTTATTTTTTAAAATATTTTTATTGATTTCAAAGGGAGAGGGACATAGAAATACCAATGGTGAGAGAATCACTATCAGCTGCCTCCTGCATGAGCCCTACTGGGGATCGAGCCTGCAATCCAGGCATGTGCCCTTGACCAGAATCAAACCAGGGACCCGACCCTTCAGTCCCCAGGCTGACAATCCATTGAGCCAAATTAGCTAGGGCTGCTTCCAAATTTATGACTGTCATGGTTCACCAATTTCATTGCAATTTTTATCAGCTGACAATGGTTAGACTTCCAATTTTTTTTAAATCCCCACCTGAGGATATGCTCACTGATCCTAGAGTGAAACAGAGATGTGACAGAACATGAATTGTTTATATTCTGTATATGCCCTGACCCCATACAGAATATGAACAGCAACCTTGGTACATGGGACCATACACCAACTGAGCCACTGGCCAGGACAGTCTTGAAGTTTAATTACTTGGCGGGCAAAGGAATGGATAAAACATACTGTAGGCCTTTTGCACCATTGGTTTCTGTAGTGAAATTTTTACCTGGGCATGTGTCTTGACCAGGAATCCAACCAGCAACCTTTTAGTTCATGGGAGGATGACCGACCAACTAAGCCACACTGGCCAGGGCTGTAGTGAAATTTTATTCAGGTAAATCAAAGAATAGGTGAAGTGAGGATGGAAGAAATGGACAGAGGTGTGGTTGTCATTGGCAAAAAAAAATAAAAAATAAAATAATACGATTTTTTAAGGAAGCTTTTTTTTTTTTTTTGCCCTGGCAAGGGAGCTCAGTTGGCTAGAGCATCATCCAGGTAAGCCAAGGTTGTGGGTTTGATCCCCATCGGGGCACATGCCCAGAATCAACCAATGAATGCATAATTGAGTGGAACAATTTGATGCTTCTTTTTCTATCCCTCTAAGAAAAATCAATAAAAGTTTTTAAGGAAGCTTTTAAAATGTAGTCTGGCTTATTTGTAGCTGAAGCAAAACGGTGCCTGTGGGATTTATTCGAGTTTTTACATATGAAGTCCATTCATAAAACCCAAGCTTTGTCTTCACAGGGAGGAGCTCTGTGATATGACAGGCAGGATTACAGGCCATTCCTTGACCCAGAGAAGTAAGACTGATGGTGTAAGAACGAGGTCCACCAATCTCCTGCAGGTTTACCACAGCCACAGCCCAGGCTAAATTCGAGAGAGGGCGTTCCCATACCTCAATGCTGTCTTCCTGAAAAGCAAGCCAAGAAAATAGGTATGATAACTCGGTAACTAGCAGTAAGCTGCCTTGTAGCATTCAGTCTTACTGTCAGAACTACCAAACACTTCTAGGAAAAATTAAAATTATCTTGTAGCATGTTTGGGAACGAAAGTAATGATTATAGCAAAAAAAGCTTACCGTATTTTCCGGCGTATAAGACGACCCCCTAATTTTATAGTTAAAACAAAGGTTTAGGCCTATATTCGCTGTATAAGACTACCCCCCACTTCCGAGGCAACACCAGTTCTTTTTTTAAAAGATGGCCTCTCTGACTCTGGTCAATCTGAGCAGGATTTTTTTTTTTTTCGTTTCAAAAGTCGACTTATATGCCGGAAAATACGGTAATTACTGATCATTATTGAGATTAAAAAATATATTCACAAAAGACCAGTGCATATCTTAATATCGGGTCTAGTAATAATTAATGTCGTTTTTAATCATTCGTTTAAAATCTTGCTTGGCGTTGACTTGTATTGACATAACCTTCAAACACGTGGTATCTACAGAACGTGTGAAGTGCAATTAACAAGTTTTGCTGGAAAAAGTTTGTGTTTGATTTGGTTTTTGTTGCAAAACTAGGGCTAAGAAGATGGCGGATGAAGAGCATATTTGGCACTGCATGCTTTACGAGTTCCAATTAGGAAGAAAAGCAAGTGAGGCTGCAAAAAACATCTGTAGTGCTCTTGGTCAAGATGCAGTTAGCGCCAGAAAATGCCAGCGTTGGTTTGAGAAATTTCGCGAGGGAAATTTTTCGTTAGATGACAAGAGTGGTGAAGGCCGTGTGTCCAATTTTGAAAAGAAGCTCTTCAAGCTCTTTTGGTGCAAAATCTTCAAATTACCCAACAAGAGCTTGCGACAACTTTAAATTGTTCACAAAAAACAATTTCCAATCAATTGCGTGCACTTGGCAAAGTCCAAAAGTTTGGAAAATGGGTTCCTCATGAGTTGACCGACAACAACCGTAATCAAAGAGTCACAATTTGCAGTTCGCTCCTCTCTCGTCAAAACCGTTTGCCGTTTTTAGAGTAAATTGTTACCGGAGATGAAGAATGGGTGCAGTATGTTAATTTGAAAAGGCGGCCTCAATGGTTGGACAAAAATGAGGCTCCGCAGCCCACGCCAAAACCTGACTTGCAGGCGAAAAAAGTGATGTTGTGTGTTTGGTGGAATTTTAAAGGAATTCTTCATTATGAACTTTTACCATCTAACCAAACCATTACAAGTGCAGTGTATAGTGCCCAATTGGAAAGGTTAGCCCAAGCTTTAAGAGAAAAAGAACCCGCGCTGATTAATCGGAAGAGCGTAATTCTTTACCACGATAACGCACGACCGCATACTGCAAGAATCGCTGCTGAAAAACTGTGCCAGTTGGAATGGGAAGTTCTCCATCAACCTGCATATTTTCCTGATATTGCCCCTTCCGATTACATTTGTTTTGTTCTTTGCAAAACTTTCTTCTTGGAAAAAAATTTAATAATGAAGAATGCCTCAAAAATGCATTGACCGAATTTTTTGCATCAAAATCACAAGAATTTTACAACAAAGGGATTAAAATGCTTCCTGAGCATTGGGCACAAGTAGTAGAAAACAACGGCAACTATATTGTTGATTAAATTTTGTTGTATTGTTTAAATAAATTCGATTTAAAAAAAAAGTATTAGAAAACGACATTAATTATTACTAGACCTAATATATAATAGATTTAGGCCCAAGACAAAGTTGGCATTTGAGTATAAAGCTATCTTAAAATACATAGCCCAAATAAACATTTGGATGAATTTTATTATTTTTTTAATCCTCATCTGAGGATATTTTCCCATTGATTTTCAGAGACTGTAGAAGAGAGTGGCAAAGAGAAAGAAAGACAGATAAATATCAATGTGCAAGAAATACATCCATTGGAGGCCTCCTGTACACACCCAACCAGGAATGGCTGGGGAGGGGCCTGCAACCAAGGTATGTACCCTTGACGGGAATCGAACCCGTGACCCTTCAGTCCTTAGGCCAACACTATCCACTTGGCCAAACCGGGCAGGGCCATTTGGATAAATTTTAAACTAGAAGGCAGGAGAACATATTCTTGTCCAATTCCTATTTTCTTCTGGAGAACATTTACTATACCTTTCTCAGAAGGTACCCCTGCTTGCCCAAGGGGTCCTGGTTGATGGCAATTACATCCTTATTCTGTAGGAGGGTTTTGGCTTGAGAGCTGATGTGTCGGAGGTCATTGGACATGAGTAATGGAGCTGCCATGATCGCCCAGAGGGCCATCTGCGTTACCTGCTGATCCCAGCTGAGGCCAAAGTTGCCAATCACTAACTGGGACAAAGAGTGAAATTAGAATTCAAATGAGAGAAGACAAACATTCTTAAAGTTATCTAGACACAGAAGCCACTTTCCGTGGCACTCTGCTTTGAGTACTCTCACATAAAGGCTGCTCCAAGCAACTTGCCAATTTACCTTGAATGTCAGTAGGAAACAGGCCCACTGCACGGGTTTGAACAGAGGAGTCGGGTTCTTACCATATCTGGGTCATTCCAACCCCCAGGTCCTGCAGCTCTAACAAGTGTCCACTGGTTAGCTGAGGTCCAGGCCAAAATAGTCTTTATACTTTGCCAAGAATCATAAATGTCTCCAAAATTTCTCCAGTGATTACAGTATCGTCGGATTTCTGTATAATTGGGCTGTGAAAACAGAGATACTGTAACTCTTCTGCTTACTTTCTACTAACATTCTTGCGAGATGAAAATAGTCAAGTTTAAAGGAAGAACTTGTAGCCTTCTCTTTAGTTTATTGCTTAAAAGTCTCCACTGATGAGCTAAATCCTTATTATAATGGATCTTCATTGTAAAAATTTTGCTTCAGAATTAGGCCATTTAACTTAAAATTTCTACTTAAAATGGCTTAAACAATGTTTATGCTGGAAATTTACCAATGGTAACTAAGTACTGGGATTATGGAGGATTGACTTTTTTTTACACTTCACTATTTTCAAACTTCTAAAATTAACATGTACTGAATAACATTTAAAATAACAAATAACCTAATAAGTAAAAGCAGCTGAAAAATTACGTAGAACTCATCAAACATAAAGCAATCTAAATCCTAGGCATATAATTTTTAACAGAACAAATACATGTTTGTAAATAGGCACATGGGATATCCAAGGTTTAAGATGTTGAAGAGAAAGGTGAAGACTATTTTAGAGATTAGAAAGAAGTAACAGCCCTAGCCAGTTTGGCTCAGTGGATATAGCATTGGCCTGAGGACTGAAGGGCCCTGGGTTCAATTCTGGTCAGGGGCACATGCCTCCATTGTGGGCTTGATCCCTGGCCCTGGTCAGGGTGCATGCAGGAGGCAACCAATGGATGTTTCTCTCTCTGTCTCCCCCCCTCAGCCCCGCCCCTTGAAGATTAATAACAACAAAAAAAGAAATAACAGGGATTCATCCTATAAATAATTATTCAACACTTACCATATGCTAGTGATAAAGTCAGACACTGTCCCTGCCCTCCTGGAGCTTATATTCTAGTGGGGAGACAGACAGTAAGTCAGTTAACATATAATTCTACATAGTGCTAAGGTCTTTGATGGAAACTAAGAAACTAAATAGGTTAATGTGATAAAGAATGAATGGATAGAGCACTATTTAAAATATATATTGATTTCAGACAGGGAGAAACATCAATGAGAGAATCATTGATCAGCTGCCCCCTGCATCTCCCACACTGGGGATTAAGCCCAAAACCCAGGCATATGGCCTGACGGGGAGTCGAACAACCTCCTGGTTCATAGATTGATGCTCAACCACTGAGCCACACTGGCTGGGTCAGAGCACTATTTTTTTTATAAATATATTTTAAAATTCCTTGCCTGAGGGTATGTTTTCTTTCATTTTAAAGAGAGGAAGGGATTGGTAGGGGGAGAGACGGGGTTGGTGGAGGGAGAAATCGGTTGCCTAGCATGGTGCAGGGATCAAACATGCAATGTAGTGTTTGTGCCCTGACTAGGAATCAAATCTGCAACCCTTAGTTGTATGGGACGATACTCCAACCAACTGAGCCACCTGACCACGGCAGGATAGAGCACTCTTTTAGAGTAGTTAGAGAAGATCAGTCTGAGTGTGTGGTATCTGGTATGAGACCTCAATGTTAAGGAGGAGCTCAGAAATCTTGGGAGACCGTACCAGGCAGAAAACGATAAGCAATAGGCCCTGAGGCAGCAACAGGCTTGGAGTGTTTGGGGGACAGAAAGAACACCAGTGCAATGAGGGCGAGTGATGGGGAATGGGGTTGGAGAGATAGTCCAGGGCAGATCAGTGGGGTTTGGTTGTATTCCAAGTGCAATGGGAAGCCCGTTAAGGATTTTAAACAGGGGAGTGATGTGATTCCACTTAACATTTAAAGAAATATATATTTTATTGATTTTTTACAGAGAGGAAGATAGAGGGATGGACAGTTAGAAACATTGATCAGCTGCCTCCTGCAAACCCCCCACCAAGGATGTGCCCGCAACCACAGTACATGCCCTTGACCGGAATTGAACCCGGGACCTTCCAGTCCGCAGGCAGACGCTCTGTCCACTGAGCCAAACCGGTTTCGGCTCACTTACATTTTAACAAGGACACTTTGGTGCTGCTGGAAAAATGGTTGGGGGTTGGTGGAGAGCGGAAGTGAGAGGGGAGGTTGTTGGGAGCATTTTGGGTGAGTGATGATGATGGTGGCTTGAAAGACAAAGATGGATGCAGCAGAGATGGAAAGAAATGGGATGATTCAGGATTTAGTTTGTAGATAGTACTGATAGGATTGCTGATGAACAGATTGTGAATCATAAGACAGAGGGAAAAATCAAAGATGACTGACTTCCCAAGTGGTGGCAGCTTAGACTCCAATTGGAGCAGTGAGGATGATAAGAAGTGACTGGGTCCTGGGAGAGATGGTGGGATGAGACTGTTAAGTAAGGTGGGACTTTGAAGGAGACCTTTGTTCTCAAGTCGTGAAAACCCATCCCCAAGGCTCTATTAAATTCTGGAGTCACTAGCTCACCTTCTGAAAGGGCCACATATAAAGGGGCCACTCACAGGAGTACACAATGCTTCTGCCAGTCTTGTTCAGGGCCAAGGACATGTGCTTATAACCTGAATGAGAAAACAATGGATAAAATAAGGGGAAGAAAGAGACTTCCAACAGGGGCTGCCCTGAAGGGCCGTGTTTATATTTTAAACCAGCAGCAGAGACAGGTAGCTTCTCTGTATTGAAATTGTGTCTAATACCTCCCACACAGCTGGAGTTGTTCCGAGGATACAGTGCGGGATGGTGCATATATTGAGGAAAGGCAGTCATGAAGATGCCCCTTTCTCTGTGACTGACATTCTAGATGCTTTCCCAAATTATGTTACAGAGTTAGAATTACTGCTTGTAATTAACTCAGACCCCCCTTTAATTAAAAGTGCACAGTATTAACTGTGGTTAATGGACAAACTGAAAAAGAGATAGTAGCTCTGGCATATTGAGAATAATTATTTCCAATACTGTGACTGGGTACTTAAAATGGGGAGATTAGTTCTGTGGATACCCAGTAACCGTGGCTTCAAAGTTCTTCTCTTTGCTCATGGCTAAATCTCTTGAATGAAACATACCATTTGCCAACTCTTCCACAGAGTCACAGTAACAACCATCAAATTTTAGCAGATCTACGCCCCAGTCGGCAAAGGTCTCAGCATCAATGTTATAGTGTCCCAAACTCCCAGGGTATCCTGCACAGGTTTTTTTCCCAACATCTGCATAAATTCCTAGCTTCAGTCCTTTGCTATGGACCTGAAATGAGAGGAAAGAGTCACCGCAATAGGAGTGCAATCATCAAGCAGAGAGAACCACTCCATGCTGTGGGAAGAGGCATACACTTCACCAGGTACTGGGGGCATTTATTTCACAAGTTCCCAAAATTATGTAGATGGCCGGGGCCGGTTTGGCTCAGTGGATAGAGCATCGGCCTGCGGACAGAAAGGTCCCAGGTTCGATTCCGGGCAAGGGCATGTACCTTGGTTGCGGGCACATCCCCAGTAGGGAGTGTGCAAGAGGCAGCTGATCGATGATTCTCTCTCATCGGTGTTTCTAACTCTCTATCCCTCTCTCTTCCTCTCTGTGAAAAATCAATAAACTATATTTTAAAATTATGTAGATGAGTTTATTGGGAGACAAAGAGCAAATTCTCCAATTCTGCTGAGTTCAAACTCACATGTAAGCTTCAGCATAGAACTGAAGAGAAACTTATCAGCCACTCTAATCTCTCCCTGATGGGAATCTAAAAGTTACCTTTCCAGGGCAATGACATCTGGACAGTCTCTCCTTGACCAAACCTTGGTTAGGCTCCACTAAGCTCTCTTCTCAAGTAGGCTTCAACTTTGTCAGTCAGCGTCCACTCTTAGCAAGAATCCTAGTGAGTCTTCCTCCTACTCTTGATATATGATCAAGTTCCTTATCTTCCACCCTTGATGTGTAAATCCTTGGCCTATTTTCTTAACCAGAATCCCTTAATCATTTTCCATCCAATGATCCTCCCAATCTTCTTTTTGGCTACAAATCCCCACTTATCTTTGTTATATTCAGAATTGAGCTCAGCTCCCTCAACAGTACTAAATAAAACGTCTTCATTGCCTTTAACTAATGTTTGGCTCATTACTTTTAAAAATCTTTAGCAAGTATTCCTCCTATCTTCTAAAATTCTAGATTACAGTAAAATTACAATACTGCTCGAAGTTTATATGGAAATATATGCACACATATGCCAAGAACCAAGTTCCTTTTTCCTCCCAGAGAATTTGGCTGTTTCAGCAAAAGGAGAACTTAAGATGGGCCTCAAGAAGTGTTGCAAAATATATATCTGCTGACAGATGAAAATTCCACCTGATAAGCCTTACAATCCAATCTTCAGATAATGGCAGCTATTTTATTCTCTAAGTGTTTTTGAATAAGTTTCCATACCGAAGTATTTGGTCTCCTAAATGAAAAAGAAATTATCTGTAAACTCACATAATCAGATAGATGGCGGATTCCACTTGGAAAGCGTTTAGGGTCTGCCTGAAGTCTCTGTTTTGAGTCTCTTCGGGAAGCCATCCAACAGTCATCAATACAGATGTACTCATATCCCACTTCCTTCCAGCCTTCTGAGGCCATGATATCTGCCATCTGCATGAAGAGCTTCTCACTGAAAGAGAAATTCCAAGAATCATTACAATTAATTAAACAAATGCTTGGGTACTTCCTATTTGTTAGGTACCTCGGGGCTTTCAATTTTTTTCAACCCAGTAATAGTTGGGTAGTAATCACAATCAAAGCAAGTTAAAATGGATTGAGCCCTTTTCCTTCTCCCTGCCCCTACTCTTAATACTTATACCCTAAGAACCCTGAACAATTAAAATAGGAATGTGCAATGCAAGAAATTGAGGTTATTAGAAACTAGAACGATATTTGATATATAAATGTTATAACCAATATACAGCAAGAACCACCATATTCACAACATATGATAGATAAATACAAAGTATCATCCCAAATGCAAAAAATATTCCAATTAAAAAATAGGGAACTAATACAAATAGGTATAATCAACAGCTTCCTTACCTATCAACAATAACCTAGCTAGAGAAAAAGATACCATTTTTAAGAGCAACCCAAAAAACAACAGGAAAACCTAAGATTCAATTTTGCTCTTGGATAAGAAACTCAATATTAAAAAGAAGCTAATTCTAGCCAAAACCGTTTGGCTCAGTGGTAGAGCATCGGTCTGCAGACTGGAAGGCCCCAGGTTCGATTCCGGTCAGGGGGTGTGCATGAGGCAGCTGGTCGATGTTTCTCTCTCATCGATGTTTCTAGCTCTCTATATCTCTCCCTTTCTCTCTGTAAATAATAAAATATAAATTAAAAAAATAAATAAATAAAAGAAGGTAATTCTCCCTAAACTTTATACATTTTTTTTTTTGGTTAATCCTCCCCTGAGGATATTTTTTCCCCCTAGAGATTTTTAGAGAGAATGGAAGGAAAGGAAGGAGGGAGGGAGAGAGAGAGAAATATCGACTAGTTGCCTCCTGCACGCATGCCCAGACTGGGGGCAGGGAGCAAACCCTCAACCAGAGTATATGCCCTTGACAGGGAATCGAACCCGAGACCCTTCCATGCCCCAGTTGATGCTCTAACCACTTTTTTTTTTTATGCTCTAACCACTTTGCTATACCAGCCAGGGCCCTTTATGCATTTAATAAAACCCTAAACAAATCCCAAAAGGGCTTTTTAAGGAACTTGGCTACATGATTTGAAAGGTTCACCTAAAAGATTAGACATAATCATTCTGCAAAAAAATAAATGAAGCTGGTGTAGTGCCAGTAGCATTAGAATACACAGATCAATGGAATTAAAGAGAATGTTCAAAAAGAGATCCTCCCCGCCATTTGGTACCATGGAATTTAGTTAATATTAAATATGGTATTCTTTATAAGAGATTAAAGGCTAGACACATTAAAGATTTAAATATTTTAAAAATTCATAAACATACTAGTAGAAAACATAGTGACTATATTATTTTCAGGTAGGAAAGTACTTTCTCAGCATTATGCCAGAGTCAGAAATAATAAAGGAAAAAAATTCTATTTAATATATAAATGTTAAAACCAATGTATAGCAAGAACCACCATATTCACAACATATGATAGACAAAAATAAAACATCATCCAAAAAGCAAAAAAAACCAAAACAACAACAGCAAAAAACATTACAGTTGAAAAATAAGGAACTAACACAAATAGGCAATCTATAAAAGAAATTGCCAAGAGCCAATTTAACAAATGAGATGTTTAATCTCATTACAAGTCAAATAAATGAAAATAAAAATACCTAACTGATTGACAAAGTTTTAAAAGAATGACAAAAATGCAGGGTTGGGAGTGTGGGGAAACAGGCATTCTCATACACTGTTGTTGGGAATGTGCATTTGTCAAACTTTTGGTGAGGACAGTTTGTATGTCACAAAATGAGCATATAGTTGGACCCAGTAATTAGGTCATATGGCTAAGTAACAGCAAGCTAGAATTTGAAACTAGGCAAGCAAAGTTCAGAGTCTTGCTAACTCAACATAAACATAATTTCATTTTTATTGGAAATAATGAAAAAAAGAAAGAAATCTGTGATCTGTGTTACTTACCAAAAAACTATTCCAAGACCTTAAATTACCATTTTAATCATGATTACTTCTGGGTGGTGGAATGAGGGGAATCATTTTCATTATACTCTTCTTTACTATCTGCACTTTCTGCATTGATTATGCATTAGTTTTATAATCAGATAACAAAAATAAAGACAACCACCCCTTAGAAAAAAATCCAAAGAAAAAGAAATATGTGATGGGCACAATTGCTATACACTTTACCCCAGGGTCACAGTGGACTTTGTCTGAAACTTAGAGGGTCATTAATTCTGTAATGTTTGACCAACATCCTAATTTTATCTGTAAAGCCAGAAAGACATTCATAGGAATAACTTATATGCACTGGGATGTATCATAACCACTGCTTTCAGAGGGGTCTCTGCACCACTGGTGTCTTTATTATATTTCAGAACTATTCTGTTATTAACCAGTGTCATCCCAACAAACAATAAAAAAGAAACTGATATGACAGATGGGTACTAGATTTATCAGGGTGATCACTTCATAAGTTATATAAATGTCTAATTACTATGTTGTACATCTAAAGTTAATCTAATATTGTGTTAATTGTAATTAAAAATTTTTAAATAAAACCCCACTATTTTACAGACCCTTCTCAGTCAACTCCCTGAGGTCAGAGTTGTTATTCCCAATTTACAGACAACCAATGTGCGGATCAGATAGGTTCAGTACCTGTCTTATCCAGGCAGCATTGTCGGGAAGATCAGTGATAAGATGTTGAACCTCGAAGTGGGACCTGACAATTGTTGATCCCTCCCCTGTCCTTGGAATGTGCATTCTGCGGACCTTCCACGCTCCCAGAAGCTGCCCCAAGGATATATATAGCCTTCAGGGAAATGTGTTGAAACTTGAGGAAGGTACACAGGCATACCCCCTCTGCTTATTGCGGGGTTTTTTGTTTTGTTTTGTGTGTGTGTGTGTGTGTGTGTGTGTGTGTGTGTGTTTTACACAACTTTAAGGCAAAGACCCCCCCCACCAGCAAAAAACACACACACACACAAAAAAACAAAACAACAAAAAACATGACTTCTTTTATTGTAATACCTGGAACCGAACCCGAAATATCTCTGAGGTATATTTGTATGTGACTAAACCCAGCTTAAGGCTTCTGTACAAGCTTTTATTTGGCTGGCCAGCAGGTGTGGAAAACTATTCCTCTTGCAGCCTCCCAAGAAAAGCTGCATAGGTAAGTTCCATTGCCACTAAAAAGGTCACTTACTAATCTGAATGGGTCTGCCACTTTCTGGGGTTTCTCCCAGCCCTGCTCTACTGGGGCGGTTTCAGATTACACTCAGGTTGCTCCAGGCCAGTTATTGGGCCAACAAGCCTCAACACTTGGCTTCCATATACAGGCGTACCTCGGAGACACTGCGAATCTGGTTCCAGACTGCCGCAATAAAGCGAGCCCTAATGTTTTTGCGCAATAAAGTAAGGTGCAACGAAGTGAGGTGTGCCTGTACAAAGTTCCTTCAGGTCAACCCTTCAGCCACAGGCCACACTCCTGGGAGAGAGGGTGGGGAGATCACTGAGACCATAGTCCTAAACTTCCTCAAATTACAGTCAAGGAACCCTGTGACCAAACAAAGAAACAACAAAAAAAGAAGTCCTCTCTCCTACTCACTGCAGCTGTGTTGGCTGCTAGTAAGTACCATTAGAAGTAGGGCAGCAGCTCACAGAAGGGTTTGAACGGAACTGGATGGTAAATCGAGAAAGTCCCTAGCTCGGTAATCCGGCAGAAACTGAGAGGCCAGAGAATTTAGGACCCTGGCAGGGTTCCCACCCCAGGAGGGGTCATAATGAGAAAGTTCAGGGCTAGTCGCCATCGAGCCAATTCGCTGGGAATGAAAAAACAGCAGCGACAGCAGGGAAGCTCTCCCTCTGGCTCAGATGCTCCCGCTGAGCACCAGTACCCCTCCGAGCACAACGAGAGGCGAAGGGAAGGGCTCCGGTACCTGACACAGGAATCCGGGTCTTCCTCGCAGTCCGTGTTGCACATGAAGCGCTCCCAGTGCAGCCAGCCCATGGTGGGGGTCATGGCCAAGCCGTTGTCCAGGGCCCAGGCCCCGGAGATCTCCCGGAGCATCAGGGCCCGGAAGCTAAGCGCCAGCACGCAGCCCAGCCGCCGGAGTGGTCCACTAGTCAGCCTCATCCTCGGTGTAACCAGGCATAACTCATTTCCGCGGTAAACTGGGCTTTTAAGTTTAACCTTAGGGGCGGGCCAATCACTGGAGAGTTACGTCATGACGTTGTTGTTTCTCGGGCAACTGGGACGGTTATCCCCAGAGACGGACCAATGACCAGTCACGTAAGAAGCGCCGCAACCAATCACGCTCTTTCTTCCTAAGCATAGGCCCGCCCTATTCCCTCGTCGGAAGGAAGTGTGCTCTTCAGTGATCCGGAGTTTGAAGCGGAGTCACTCACGTGACCGAGATCTCACATGACGTAGGAGCTCACGTGATCATTCGCTTACGTGAGCAGAAGTAGTTCGGCCGTCGTCTGCCGTCTCGCTACAGCCGTTTGAGGGCTGGAGGAACATCGTCCGGCATCTTTGGAGGTTGGTGTGTGGGTGGGAAGTGGGGGCCCGGGGGTGGCGGTAATGAAGACCGAAGCGGGGGTCCGCCGGCCGCCGTCTCCTTTTTCGCTCCTCGCGTTCTCCTCCCCCGCCCCCCACTCCCCCATCTCAGTGCCGGGAAGCCGCCTTCGCTGCGCCTGGTGGGGAAATGGTGGACGTTCGTGACTGTGTGTGGTTTTTGTATCTCTCTGTCCGGGCGGGTCTCAGGGGAGCCCTTGAGAGAAACCTGACGGAGAAAAACGTTTGAAAACCACATCCGTAGATTAGGGAAAAAATAACATATTGAGACTAGTGGTCCGAATGCTCGTCCATCCTTTCAGTGTAGGGAGAGGCACCAAGTCAGTTTATATGTAAAATCACATCTAGGTAACTGTTACGTGCCTAACGGAGGAGCCCAATAAATGTTTTTACTGAGTTGAGTATTTAAATAACGTGTTTGTTTTTTTTGCTTATAACAATTTACTTGTTCAATATTGAACATTAGAAAAATAACAATATAAGTTTTTTTTCCCTATAAGTTTTTAAAAATATTTGTAATTTATTACCCAGAGATAACTACTCAGCACTTGGTGTATAAAAAGTATGGGTATAAGACATATAAATACACAAATTCTTAACTCCCAAATGGAATCCTGGTACCTACTTCATGCAATGGAGTATTAGTGGCCTACCAGGGTGATACGTTAATGAAGTAGAACTTTCCTGATGTCATTACAGAGGGTATTAAGGCCTAGAGTGCTGCAGGGACATTAAATGGGGCGAGTGTTCCAAGAGTTAAGACAGGCCAAAAATTACTTCAAAATATCTATCGCTCGAATCTAAAATTGGTTTATATGACGACTGTTAACCACCACAGATGCGCTGTGCAAGGCATATATTGGGTAGTTAGTGTTTGTTGAATTGAATCCTCTAGTTTTATGGTAGTTAGTACACTTTGTACCTTTCTAGAGGCCCAGTGTTCCCAGACCATGTCAGATAAGCCACCCACGTACCAAATCAGAAACTTTTATAAAATTTGCTATACCAAATTCCACAAAAGCAAACATTTTTGCTGAATTACAATAATTACTCTAGCAAATTAAGAATGCACCAAAATTTTTAAAAAAATATATTTTATTGATTTTTTTTTTTTTTTTTTTTTTTTTTTTTTTTTTACAGATAAGAAGGGAGAGGGATAGAGAGTTAGAAACATGGATGAGAGAGAAACATCGACCAGCTGCCTCCTGTACACTCCCTACTGGGGATGTGCCTGCAACCAAGGTACATGCCCTTGACAGGAATCGAACCTGGGGCCTTTCAGTCCCCAGGTCAAAGCTCTATCCACTGAGCCACACCGGTTAGGGCATGCACCAAAAATTTTAAAAATGAAATTGAAAAACCTACCATCCCGAAACCACTGTTAACAATTGACACATTTCCCATGCATATATTTTTCCTAACATTGCTTTTTAAATTCCAATTACAATGATTTAAAAAAATTAAACCTATGTAGTAGTATATAGGATATGGGATATGAAGTGGAAATCAACTCCACTCTCTTCCTTCCTATCCTCCAGTTCTTTCCTCAAAAAAAAAAAAGTTTGTTTTATATGCTTCCAGATCTTCCTCTATGCATTTACAAACATATATACATGCGTGCTTATATTTTCAAATAAGAAGGATCATACTATGCATATTTTTATTTGATATATTTTGGAAATCTTAGGCCAGGGCAGATCTTTTTTAAAACTTCATAGCATCCACTTTAAGGATAAAGTATACTTTATTCATCTGTCTCCCTATTGATGGGTAGTTAGGTTTCTAATTTTCTGCAATTACTAACTGCTGCAGTGAACATTTGTGAGTATTTCAGTTGACCAGGCTCTGGAAGGAGTTCCAGCAGGTTGAAGAATATATGTTTTTTACATAGTTGAGATTATGAAGTAGCTGTGATCTTGGGCCACTTAAGATTATAGCAGAGTAATTTCTCATCTAATTAAATATTTTTATAATTTTAAAAAATTGTGTAATAGTCTGTCTTTCTTAATGAAATACCTTTCAGTGAATATATAGCTGCATAAATCTTTGTCTGAATTTCAGATCATCTCCTTATGGCACATAACCTAGAGTGGATTTACTGTACCAACTTTCACTCTTCTGGGTGTGTGTTAGTTTGTGAACCCTGAATATCAGCATTGATTTATCCTCTCTGGTTAGTTTTCACTATCTTGATGGATGAAAAGTGGCAATTAATTCTGGTTTTAAGGTGACTTTCTGGTGATTGGTGGAGTTTGAACATTTCCTAGACCCCTGTCCTGAATCCTCGTAATCTCCTTTCCGCTATATTTAATCTGTTATTAAGTTCCATAGAGTCCACTGCTTTGAATACATAGATCATGTCTTCCCTTTTTTAAATTGCTCATTTAAAGGGGGTAGGTTTGGAACCTTTTTTCTGCATTTGGATAATTATATCATAATTCGTGGCCATACAAAATTTTAAGCTTAAAAATTTGCCTGCTATATTTGGTAAAACATTTAATTAATTCACCACGAATGCCTTGGCAGGGCCAGACCAAATGATTTCGGGCCTTGTACGGCCTGCCAGATGTTTCCCACCCCTGTCTTAGGTGAATCCTTAGCACATCTCTAGGAGATCAGGGTTCTCACTGAACTTGCTAGTGTCATCTCTGTTTGAGTGCTACACTGTTTTTAGGTGATCTATCTGGAATGGGTCTGAAGATGTCACTTCCCTCTCCTCACTCCTATCCCTTCACTCCCCTTCCCCTGGCTTCTGTCTCCTCACTCCCTTCTCCCCTCACTCCACTCCCTTCACTCCCCTTGTTAAAGGCCCTTAACATTTGTCAAATAAGGCCCTTGGGACCTGATCTCTATCTTGCCAGCCTTATCTCATGCCTTGCCTCTTCCTATTTTATGCTCTATCATATTTTTTTAATTGGTTTATGGATCCCTGAACCAGTTAGTCTGTTTCATTTAACTGTTCAGTGCCAACTGATAGAATTGACCAACCATGCTCTGCTTAAATACCTTTTCACCCTGCACATAATTCTGACATAGCAGAGATAATGTGTTTATTTGCCCTTTTGTTTTTAATAAAGGCATATAGTACCCCTGTAGGACCATAAGTCCTTTTTGGGGTTATTGATCCTTGTATGCCAGAGCCAAGTCCTGGACCTGGCAGCTGAAAAATGGAAAACAAATGTGTGAATTCCCAATAATGTCTTTTTTCCATTTATCTCTTAGGCCTTAATATTTCCCTTATTTTATTAATTTGTGTGAGTTCTTTATATAAGGGTATTAATACATTTGTTGCAGTTACCTTCTCAAGTGTATTGTCTGTCTTTTAATTCTGTTTAATCTTTTGATGTAATGAAGTTTTTCATTTTTATGTAATCTTATTTAGCCATTTTTTAATTTGCTGACATCTTCCACTGATTTTGTTTATGTTAATTTTTTTCTTTTTCTTTAAACTATGATGTTAATATATGGTCAATGTAGAGATCTTAGAACATACAAAATTTCCAAAGAAAATATTTCCTGAAACAAAAAACTCCCATAATTCTGTCATCTAGAAGTAAGCAGCAGTGATGCTACCCAACATATAATAGTTATCAGGTGTCAAAAAATTGTTGAATGAATTAGAAATTTGGTGTAGTCCTTTTATTTATGTGAATGTCTTACCCAAAATGCTACCAGTGTATTTGGATTTTGTATTAATTTTTTTTCTCTTACTGTATTGTGAACATTTTTCCATGATAATAGTCTTCTAATTTTTTTCAGCTACACTGAAAAAAGCTACACCGAGCTTGCCACCAAGAGCCTAACAGTCACCATGATGCTGAGCACGGAAGGCAGGGAAGGTTTTGTGGTGAAGGTCAGGGGCCTACCCTGGTCCTGCTCTGCTGATGAAGTGATGCGCTTCTTCTCTGATTGCAAAATCCAAAACGGCACATCAGGTATTCGTTTCATCTACACCAGAGAAGGCAGACCGAGTGGTGAAGCATTTGTCGAACTTGAATCTGAAGATGAAGTGAAATTGGCTTTGAAGAAGGACAGAGAAACCATGGGACACAGATATGTTGAAGTATTCAAGTCCAACAGTGTTGAAATGGATTGGGTGTTGAAGCATACAGGTCCGAATAGTCCTGATACTGCCAATGATGGCTTCGTCCGCCTTAGAGGACTCCCATTTGGCTGTAGCAAGGAGGAGATTGTTCAGTTTTTTTCAGGGTTGGAAATTGTGCCAAATGGGATGACACTGCCTGTGGACTTTCAAGGGCGGAGCACGGGGGAGGCCTTTGTGCAGTTTGCTTCGCAGGAGATAGCTGAAAAGGCCTTAAAGAAACACAAGGAAAGAATAGGGCACAGGTACATTGAAATCTTTAAGAGTAGCCGAGCTGAAGTCCGAACCCATTATGACCCCCCTCGAAAGCTCATGGCTATGCAGCGACCTGGTCCCTATGATAGGCCAGGGACTGGCAGAGGGTATAATAGCATTGGCAGGGGGGCTGGGTTTGAAAGGATGAGACGGGGTGCCTATGGTGGAGGGTATGGAGGCTATGATGATTATGGTGGCTATAACGATGGGTATGGCTTTGGATCTGATAGATTTGGAAGAGACCTCAATTACTGT